GTCAGCGACAGAATGCAGAGAGTTCCAGATGTTCTCTGGAACAGAAACTCAAGGAAAAAGAAAAGGAATTTCAAGAGGTAAGATTAGACACTTCTATCACTTACAGAGTGACCCCCTGATACAATAAGTCATGAAAGATGGCAGCTATTATTTCCGGGGCAAACGAGATACCACACATTCTGCTAGTTCCTGGGTGAAAGGGGGGACTTGAGACCATTTGTTTTATAGTCTAGAATGGCAGTTTTCAACTGGGGTGAATTTGTGTTAGCCTCATCTGCGGACACACCCATTGATTTAGAAAGAGGGGAAGGGAGGGAGAGAGAAAGAGAGGAGAGAAACATCGACATGAGAGAGAAACATAGATAGGTTGCTTCTTGCATGTGCCTTGGGCACCAAGACCATAACCTGGGCACATGCCCCAAATAGGAATTGAACCTGTGACCCTTTGGTGTCCAACCAACTGAGTCATTCCACCCAGAGTAACTGGAATAATCTTTTTTTTTTCTTCCCAGGGGATATTTAGCAATATCTGGGGACATGTTTTAGTGTCACAACTGGGATGGGTGAGTTGGGGGCTACCAGCATTTAGTGGCTAGGGGCCAGGATGCTGGTAAACATCCTTTAATACAGGACAGTCCCTTAGAGAAAGGCATTTTCCCCAGCCCAAAATATGAGCAGTGCCAAAGCTGCCTGTACCTGGTGTAGCACTAGGGTGGTAGAAAAACAAAACAAAACAAAACAAAACAAAACAAAACAAAACCCAATAACAACCAAAAACATACGAGCACACTTACATGTCAAATAAAAAGCAACTGCAAATGTAACTCTGGTGTCCTTATGCACTTATCCAAGTTCATTGTTGACATATACTTTGCATCACTGTCAATCTGAAGTGGTGCATGGTATTTGAAATTTTGAACTCCATTCTTGAGTGCATTTGATTTCTCAGGAAAACCATGAGGGTTTCAGCTCAGCTGTCCTCTCTTTTGCCACTGGATATTTCAAAGAGAGGGGACTGATTTCAGAGTGGTGGTGTGGTCAACAGGTAGACTCTTGTCCTGGCCCTTGGAGATCAGGATTGTATGACTGGGGCCTGTGCTCAGGCTGCTGATGTTTATCACCGTGGGGATGGTCAGCTATGCTCCCTGTAGTCTCTGGCTCCACCATCACATATCCTATGGGACGACCGTGTCACCCTGGAACCTGCCTGTGGACCATCGCCGGTGCTGAGAGTATGTATTTTGCTTTTCAGGAGCTCTCCCGTCAACAGCGTGCCTTACAAATTTTGGACCAAGAGAGCTTGCAGGTGAAAGGCAGACTCACGCAGGAGCTGCAGCAGGCCAAGAACACTCGCAACATCCTGCAGGCAGAGCTGGATAAAGTAGGCACTCCTCACTTCATTCCCTCTCCTTGTCCTTGGACATGTTGTGTCCCACAGCTGACCTGGGAAGCTATGAAGGGAAAAAGGCTCCAACCTCACACTCCTTCCTTTCCAACAGGAAAACAGAGGGAAGCTGTCTAAGTCTGGCTTCTCTCATTTGGAGAAGAGGACTGTGAGTGAGTGAGAGAGTGAGGAGTGAGGTTCTCAGATGTCAGGATCTGTGGAGCTCTCTGACATTCTGGTTATTGACCAGATCACTGGGTGGGAAATCACCTGGTGGGAGCGCTCCCAAATCATTGTGCCCCGCAACAGTCAAAGCACTGAAAATTATGTCACCTTGCTTGTTTAGCACTCCCTTCAAAAATGATGCCATCCAGTTGTGTGGCTTTAGGTTTTCTCTCTGTGGTGTTGGCTGCCATGCTCATATCTCTGGCTGGGACATCAGTCCTGAACTTGAGACTCACGTATATGTCTGACCTTTCTACTCAGCATGTCTAAAAGGCATCTCACACTTCACATGTCAGTACTGGAACTCGAGCTGCTTGTTCAGTCTCGCTCCTTCCTTCTGCTTTCTCATCCCAGGAAATGTCGATTGTGGTCTTTACATTGCACAGGCCCAGTGCTACCTGTCATCTTGAACTCTGCTTTTTCTCTCATTCCTCAAAGTGCTTCATTACTACTCAGCCAAGGCCACCTTTATTTATTCACGTGCTTGCCCGTGTGTGTATGGGTGTATGTGTGTGCACACGGAGATTTCTGTGCATGTGTGTATGGGTGTGTGTGCATTACATATAGCACATTAAAACTCTTGTGTTGAAACACCATGTATATAGAGTAAATGTTTAATGATAAAGGATTATCGGGTGTGCTGTCTTGTATCCATTATCTGTATCAGGGTAGTGTTTTCAGCTACCCCTGAAACCCTTCAGGTGCTACATTCCTGCCTGCTAAGAACACACTTGGCTTTATATCTGTGTGTATTTTACACAGAGTATGACTACTTTCACCACCTCTGTGGCTCTGTAGGGCCCCAGACCATGTCCTCTCCTGCCTGGGTTACTGTTCTTGCCTCGTCCTCGTCTCCCTGCTCTGCACTTCTTCCTCAGTCTCTTTACATCCAGTGGCCAGATGGATCTTAACGTCCCAGTCACATCGTGCCACTCTCCTGAGAAGCCTGCAGTCAGACCTGTGTCTTCCACAGCAGGAGTCTCCACCCACCTAGAGGGCCTCAGTTCTCTTATTTAGTGACTCTTGTATTATACAAGAAGACGTGATGATTTATGAAGTCAACAGCAGAAAACTACTTGGTCTTATTTTTCTCTCTGTAGGCCACATCCGGAAAGCACCAGCTTGAAAGAGAATTGGAAGAGTTGAAGCAACATTTGGGCAAAACCCAAGAGGCCTTACAGACGAGTCAAACCATGGAAAATGAGCTGAGGAGGAGCAGTGAGGTGAGTGAGGAGCAGACACGAGAATTTGTCAGCTTCTGTTCAGGATACAGTGACAGAGAATCTCTACACCGTTTCTCAGTAGCTTGTCATGACCGTACCATTTTCCATTTTATTTGCCAGAATGATTTATGAAGTATTTGGTGTACAACCTATGACTTAGACCATGATGCTTTCTTTCCCTTTCTATTTGGATGTAATTACTCTGCATAGAGATTATAGGACAATATGACTTGTGTTTAGGAAGATATACTAGTCTTGATATGAAAGATTGTTTTAGACCCTCTGGGAAATGGAAGAATGCAAGAAAACAAGGGACTTTCTACCTGGAAGGAAACAAAATTGGTGATGGGGTGAGGACGTAATTTAAATCCCTTCCCAAGGGTTGCGTTTGAGTCACAAAATATTAAAACCCTGGTGGAAAGTCAGTGATTTAAGTGAGCAAAAGCGAATGTCAGAGGAAGAGGTTTTAGCTTCAAATTCTTATGAAAACATCAAGTAATTATAAGTTCTGTGATCTGGCCTCACAAGTAAAATTGGCCTGTGTGTTGAGCATAGTTTCAGTGTCTTTGTAGGGTCACTATAGGGCTACGCTGTCGTTGCTCCTACTGATTTTATTGATAACTTTAATTTGGCTTCTCTCTGAGTGTTTTTAGTGGGCTGGAGTTTATTAGAAAGGGCTTCATGAAGATCCATTTTGGGACACTCAGTAGAGTGAAACCATTTGGATTGAGCCATGAATCAGTGCTATACTATGAAGAAGCACAGCAGAAGAGTAGAAGTTTCCTGTCCATCATATGTCACAGGGAGGCCCTGGCCAGGTGGTTCAGCGGGTTGGAGCATTATGGTTATACCCGAAGGTTGTGGGTTGCATCCTCAGTTGGGGCTTGTAGAGGAGGCAACCGATCGACGTGTTCCTCTCACATCCATGTTTCACTTTCTTTCTCTCTTGTTCTCTTTCTCTAAAATCAATAAACATATCTTCAGTTGAGGATTTACAAAAACGTCACAGGAAACAAAACTTTCAATCTATTCTTGAAACATGTGGCCGTTTCTTATTGACTGAAATGATTCTCTTTATAAAAATGCTCTACCCAGAATAGTTATTTGTGCAGGAGAGGAGAGTAGAAATGTACTCCACCCCCACCTTTGACGAGTGTAACATTATTGTAAAGTCAGAGCCTCTGGTGTAACAAACCGGTGACTGTCTATCAGCCAGCCTCGGAGGGTTCTACAGCTGGAGACAGCAGGCCGGAGTTCCACCACCTGAGTGGAAGGAAGCTTCCTGTCAAGTGATGGTTTCCTCAGTGAACGCTTTAAAATGGAAGCGTTTTGTTTCAACAAAACAAATGTTTGCCTTTTGGCCAGTGGGGACTAAGCAGCAGATGCTTTGGCTGACATATCCGCAAGCAGACTGGCACCGAACTCATCACTCCGCGAGCTTCCCTTTCATCCGAGAACTCTCCCGCGACTCCAGTGGGTGCCTGGTGAAAACCTTCTGTAAAAGCAGTCTTCTGCTCAAGAGCGTTCAAAGACCTTTCGAAGGGTCCACTTGGCCAGGCTCAGCAGTGGGCTGATCATGACCTTGCAGGTGATTCCGAAGGTTGTGCATCCCCACAGGGTGTGGTGGGTCAGTTGTTGAGCTGTCTGCCCTGAACTCACCTGGAATCAGTTCAGTGCCCACCTTGTTTCACTTCCATGAGTATTTCATTGACCTCTGTGTCCATGAGGGCAGTTGTGTGCAAGGGCTTAGCCCAGGGCCAGGGAATTCACTTAGTATCTGTCTTAATTGTGTGTGGGTGTGTCTTCTTTCAAAGAAGATGGAAGACTCAAAGGATTTATCTGGCCCTTGCATTTTCGATTGGCACTGGGATCCAAGATGTGGTTTACCCAGTTCGAGCGGTGGCAAAATTTCACGGTAAAATGTTAGTGGCTCTATAGTGAGTGATATCAGAAACTGCATTGGTTTTCTGCCACCTCCCTGTGGGGTGACCTTGGGAAAATGACTTTGCCTTGAGTCTGACTCTCCTCATCTGCATATGGGGATGAATAATACCCCTTCCTTTTTAAAGCTGAACTGATGGTTTAGTTGAACACTGGCCAGCACACTAGTGCTCAGCAGATCATTGCAGTTCATCTGCTCATTGCTCTGCTCTTTACCACTGTTATGACCTGTTTGCTGTCACCCATAGCACAGCAGGTGATGAGCCAGGGGACAGAGCATTTGACATTGGACGCATTGAGAAGGTTTGCCTGTTCTATCACTCTGGGTCTCTTTCTGTTACTAATCATGAGTAAGTACAAACAAATTTAGCACACTGATAGGTTTTGCATGCCAAATTAACATAACAGTTGTACTGAAATTCTCCTTGTTTGTGTTCCCAAACTAATGCACCGCTCAAAATGAGAAATGATCAATAGTGGGAACGTGATTTAATGGCCTGATCTAGGGCAAAGTTAACATTTTCTATCAAAGTGAATGGACGGTTCAGATAATCTGTTCATCCTGCACTGGCTGCCAGCCCCGGAACACTGGGGTTAGGCAATCATGTACCAGCATTGGACAGCCAAAACTAGCGCAACATTGGTTTGGGGACCTTCTGGGCGCAGGGGTGTGTATTACCCCAGGTCCCCTAAGGAGCTTGGTCTGGCAGGAAGGATGAGGTGGAAGGGAAAAACACATTCTTTGCCTCCATCCCTTGTACACCAAACAGATTTGGCCCCGGCAGGGGACGTATTAAGCTTCATTCATGGATGGGATCATGAAATAGCACACGGGAGCTGAAATTTGTTTTTTCTTGCTCCAGGAAAGGGTGCCTCCCTGGCCATCCATAAAAAGAAGTTGATCTGGGTAGAATAGCTGGCTAAGCTCTAGTGCTCGCTTATGGCTATAGGGACTTTTGTTGCATTTTTCCAGACTTATGCTCACTTTTGCAAATCATGTCAGGATGCAAGAGATGACTAGGAGAACATATCCTTTTGTGCTTAACTTGTTGTCCATAGTGAGCTACCCAATCAAGTCTTAAGTGGCTGTGGCCTTGCAGATAAAACTACCTGCTTGTGGATGGCAGCCTACAATTCCATTTTCAGATGTTCATTTCCCTAGTTGTGGCCTTTTAAAGTTCTTGAGTTGTTCATAGCTGTAGCATTAGAGGTGGGCTGGCTGAATATTTCTACCCTAGAAACCTGTATTTATGGAGCTAAGACCAGAATAGAGAAAGACATGTCAACCCTTCCATTTAACTTCCTACTCATGTTAGTGTCTCTAGTTACAGACAGAGGCAGATGGAGACCAACAGACACCTTAACGGGAGTTGTCCCCTCTCTTTCTGTGGCACACACAGCTTTGCATATGATGCCTTCTCTGCTTTCTTGCCACCTTCAGATGTAGATGCCAACTGATCTGATTAATGTTGTAGAAAGAAAATGTTTGATAGGTTGCAAAGGAAGAATACTAAGTCAACCAAGGTGGTTAAATTCTAGTCACTCTCTCTCATGTTGAAGTCATTCCGCTGGTCTTAGCACTGATCAAGCTGATCTGGCTGTTCTTAGGAAGATCTAGCTGCTCTTTTGGGAAGAAATGCTAATAATGCCTCATTGCCCTCGTTGGAGTGCTTTCAGGTATTTTTCCTCTCATTTCTGTGATATATTCACGGTGATGATCCTGAGTTTGAAGAGCCACCAGGAGACTGTAGTGTTTATAGTTTAATGATGTTGGTGTAAGTCAATAACATCATTGTAACTAAATGATCCTTGTTTGTACACTTGAACATGGCCTTGTGTGACTGAAGGTCAACTTCTCTTGGGGTCAGATGGAGCAGCCCTTCCTTTCTGAATGATGTCTTAATTTGCCAACATGGCAGGGAGGCAGGATTAGGACAAAGACAGGAGTTTAACTACAACAGGCTCTGACTTTCTTTTTAAAAAAAATATATTTTATTGATTTTGTCATTACCATGTCCCATTCCCCCCCTTCATTCCCCTCCACCCTGTACACCCCCTCCCCCACCATTCCTTCCCACTTTAGTTCATGTCCTTGTGTCACAAGTTCTTTAGCTTCTACATTTCAAATACTATTCTTGTCCTCCCCCCTGTCTATTTTCTACCTACCGTCTGTGCTACTTATTCTCTATACCTTCTCCCCCCTCCCACTCCCCTGTTGCTAACCCTCCATGTGATCCTCCATTTCTATGGTTCGCTCCTAATCTAGCTGTCCTCTTAATTTGCTTTTTGAGGTGTGGTTCTTAATAACTGTGAGTTTGCTGTCCTTTCACTGTTCATATCTTTTATCTTCTTTTTCTTAGATAAATCCCTTTAACATGTCATATAATAAGGGCTTGGTGATGATGAACTCCTTGAACTTGACCTTATCTGAGAAGCACTTTATCTGCCCTCCCATTGTAAATGAAAGCTTTGCGGGATAGAATCTTGGATGTAGGTCTTTGGATTTCATGACTTGGAATACTTCTTTCCAGCCCCTTCTTGCCTGTAGGGTCTCTTTTGAGAAATCCACTGATAACCTGATAGGAACTCCTTTGTAGGTGACTGTCCCCTTAGCTCTTGCTGCTTCTAGGATTCTCTCCTTCATTTTAATCTTGGCTAATGTAATGATGATGTGCCTTGGTGTGTTCCTTCTTGTGTCCAACTTCTTTGGGACTCTCTGAGCTTCCTGGATTTCCTGGAAGTCTATTTCCTCTGCCAGATTGGGGAAATTCTCCTTTATTATTTGTTCAGGTAAGTTTTCCACTTGTTGCTGTTCCTCTTCCCCTTCTGGTACCCCTATAATTCGGATGTTGGAACGTTTAAAGATGTCCTGAAGGTTCCTAAGCCTCTCCTCATTTTTTGAATTCTTGTTTCTTCATTCTTTTCTGTTTGGTCATTTTTTCCTTTCTTCTGGTCAATTCCACTGATTTGAGTCCCAGTTTCCTTTTCATTGCTATTGGTTTCCTGTGCATTTCCCTTCATTTCACTTAGTTTAGCCTTCATTTGTTCCTCCAATTTGTGACTAAAATCAACCAGTTCTGTGAGCATCCTGATCACCAGTGTTTTGAACTGTGCATCTGATAGGTTGGCTATCTCTTTGTCGTTTAGAAGTATTGGCTCTGGGGCTTTGAGTTGTTATTCTTGAGCCATAATGTTTTGTACCATTTGCGCCTGTTATGTATGAGGAGCGGAGCCTTAGGTGTTCACCAGGGCCGGGCTACCCAGGTCGCTGGTTTGTGATACTGTTTGTGGGGGTGGGGTCAGAGAGGGACAATAGCGGTCCCCTCTGCTGCTTCCCACTGCTGGGACCTGCAAAGTCTGTCTCACTGCTTGCTCCTTCACCTGCTTGATCTGTGTGCAAATGTGTGACCTCGGTCAGCCTGCCGCCTTGCGCCCTCAGTGGGTCAGCCCATTGCAACTCTACACCTGGGATCCACCCACTGACTGCCTGCCTGGGTCTCGCACCTGGGTCGGCCTGGTGGATCTTTCCTGCCCGACCCCGCTCTGCTGCTGGCTCTGCCCCTCTTACTGGTCTGGCTGAATGGTTCATTGTTGTCGGACTTCAGTATAGTTCAATTATCTGTGGTTTGGCTGTGTTTTTGTGGCTAAAACTTTGCTGTTTTTAAACTTGGTTGTGTGAGAAGGCACAGTGTTTCCACCTATGCCTCCATCTTGGCAGAAGTCCGCTCTGACTTTTCTTGATGACGAAATGAACATGTACGCATGAACAGAGCTGGTGCCAGCAACTTTTCAAGTACTTCCTCCTGGCCACATTCTCCCTTGTCTTGAACTTGGCTTTGCTACCTCAGTACCCATCTGCTGATGGTAACCAGACTGATCATTAAAGGCAGTTTTCCAACATAGTGCTGCCAGGGCCATCTGCTTTCCAACAGTGTAGTAAGGCTTGGGAGGCTAGCTCTTAATCATTTCTTTAAAAATTTTCCCCTACTCCTCACAGGGTTATTTTTAAGTGCATTTATTTTCATTTTTAATTTTTTTATTGTTGTCCAAGTACAGCTGTCTCCATTTTCACCCCCCGCACGCCTGCCTCCCACCCTTGAAACTACCCACTTTGGCTTTGTCCATGTGTCCTTTATACACGTTCCTTGATGGCCCCTCCCCTATTTTCCTCTATTAGCCCCTCTCCCATCCTCCTCCTGGTTACTGTCAGTTTGTTCTTCATTTCAGTGTCTCTGGTTATATGTTGCTTGCTCGTTTTTTATGTTTTTTTTTTAAAGTTAGTCTTATGAATTTTCACCTGAAGGATGTGAGGCCCTTACTTCTGTGAGTGAATGCCAGGTCTCTGTGTTCCAAAGGGAGGTATGTCATACAGGCTGAGGTACTTATTAGTTACAATATCACCTAAGGTTGGGAAACAGGTTGAGGAAATAGAGGATTTATGATAGTTTCTATCTTCTGTGGTTAATAAGCAATAGCCCTCTTATCTGGCATACAAATATTACCTGGTTTTAAGATTGAAAAAGTTACATATGTCATTCTGGATAATACAGTGGGGGTGCATCTGCATCTCTGCTACTTTATTTGCACTTTGTTTCATGGACACTCCATTGGATCAGGTGCCCAAAGTCTCTGTTCTCCCTGTGAAAGCTTCAGCTCCTCCATGGAGAATGAACTCTCGCTTCTGTGCTCCAGCCTGGGTCCCCACAGCACAGGCCCCCTCTCTAGTCATTAGTACTTGCCCATGTTATTAAGTGGTGGGTGTCACTTCTTTCTGAGGCCATTGCTCTGTATTTCTTATATTATGGCTTTTTATAAGGCCTATTCCAGCTAATTGGTCATTGGAGATATTTTGAGAAACACTTCATGCAATGCATTGACTCCTAAAGACATGCCTGTAATAGTGAAAATTAAGATTGTTTTCAATTGTGAAGGAAACATGTTTCCTGTGAATGTATGTTGTTCCTTAGCACATCAGACTTTGCAAAGATATAGTTGATCATTCAGGTGTGATAAGGACTCGGAGCTTATGTTCTTGAGGGACACTTCAATGGGATTTTCCATCTCAGTGAAATTTTGAACAGGCTTAGAGACAACCAGAAAGTTGAAACCAATCGTTTCCTCAAAGCAAAACGATTGCCATCGGATTTGGGTGTTTTGCTTGTGTTTTAACTTCTGTCCATAAAATCACTGGGTTAAGTCAGAATGTCTAATTGTATAAAGTGCTCAAAGGGAAGGTGTGACTCTTCCCCCCATGAGATACACCACTGGTTCCATTAGGAACTCTTACTGAGGCAGAAGTCATAGTTTGCTGGAGCATTCATTTTGAGTATAACCAAGTCAACTTGTGCTTTAGGAAATGAAGAAGGAAAACAGTTTCCTCAAGAGTCAGTCTGAGCAAAGTGTCAGAGAAGTCTGCCAGCTGCAGGAAGAACTGAAGAAGACCAAGCAGTGTTTGAGTCAGAGCCAGAATTCTGCAGAGGAAATGAGGGGTAAGTAAAACTTGGTGATATGGACTGATTTCCTAAGCTAGTGTATGGAGGATGTGGATGGCATTAGAAACTTTGAAGTTTTCTATCTGGTCTCCCAGGAAGAAGTCTGCAGTGGATGTGGAAATAGTTTTGTCTCTTCTACTTTTTAGTTTCTGGAGGGATAGTTGGACCCTTTTTTAATTGAAATACTAGCACCCCCAAATGCCTGTTTTTCAGCACTTAGAAACTGAGGGTGCATGTTTTCCACACAAAAAGAAATTGTCAGTTCTGCCTGTGTCCCCAGAGTGCTGTTGTCTGTCCCCAACGTGTTTATCAGTGACACTCAGGCAGCTTGTCTCCTCACTCTTTCCCTTACAATGGAAACTCCCTACATGAAGTGCGTGTTTTCCCAGCCCTTAATGACCATCGGTTTGTGATGACTTACTTCACTAAATGATTTTGTCTTTACTGTAGAGCCACAGAATCATGCTATCCACACCAAATGAATCTGCCACTTGTTACCCATTTTTAGGTGTACCATAGGTCTTCTTGTTACATTTAGTTTCTCAGCTTGGGTATGTGCACATCCAGGATTTCTCTAAACCTGACATTGTGGATCATGGAATTATGGGTCACACTTCTCTGTGACTGTTTTCTTTTTCAAATTCCCATGTCCCCGAGATGGCTTTGAATAGTTCCACCACAGTAGGTAGAAATGCCAGTCTTTCTTGAAAGAAAACCAGCGGAAAAGTGAAACGTTTGGGCATTTTCCATTGTTGGCCACCAGGATCATTGCTCCAGGTCCCCATAAGCAGAGGAGACTGATAGCTCTTGTAGCCTGTGGAGAGCCATCGCTCAGTAGGTGGACTGAGATTCGTGGGTTAAAACAGGAGTTGGGTCCCACTTATTGTCCCCCCTGCGTTTAGAATACATGCTGCCTTTCTCATCTGCTATGGACAAATGAATTCTCCCTCCATTTATCTGGGGAGTTGGAAGGATGCCTATCACTTTGGAGTGAAAGCTTTGAGGTTATTGTCAACTGGGTGGGGTCAGGGGGTACAGGTGTGTTGCTGGGCAGAAACAAGGTGATAACAAAGTTTGAAAAAGCTCCCAGATGATGCTTAGATTCACAGACACCAGTTGTTCTGTGAGGATGTGGGACATGGGTGATATTCATATAGAGGCCTCGAGAGGTACTGGCGTAAAACATCTTTTCCTCTTTGATACAGAGCCCATGGATTGTGGAGAAAATGGTGGAGCAGTTACACACTTATTCTGGGAAATCAGAATTACTCCTCAGTGAAGGGAGTCTTTCTACCTCAGTGCTCCTTTTGTCCCAGTTTTCTCTCTCTGAATAATTATTTCATACGAGGTGAAAACTATAGGCACACCTCAGAGATAGGGCAGGCTCGGTTCCAACCAGTGCAATAAAGTGAGTGCCACATAATAAAGTGGTCCATGACCTTTTTGCTGGTGGAGGGTCTTGCTTTCCATATGTCAAACACACAACTGGGAAGCACAATAAAACAGCTATTCCTGTCCATATATACACAAACTCAGAAGAAAAAGTTTCTACTGTTTAGGAAAGTAATCTCTTGGTATTTTATACAACAACACTTTCTTAAGCTGCATACAGAGAAGACGAACAAATGCATTAGCATCCCTAAAAGGACCACGTTTCTCATGGTCTTTTGGAAACTTAAATGATTGTCTGGTGATCTTCTTTGCAGGAGGTGTCTGGACAATAATGGCAATTTTCCCAGGGCTGAGGAGTTGTTAGTGTGCTTTGCAGTTTAGAATTCTTATGAAATCAATATTTAAAACATTGACAATGCTTTTTATTTATTTTTAATAGCTAAGAATGCTTCTCAGGAAACCATGTTAAGAGATCTCCAAGAAAAAATCAATCAGCAAGAGAATTCCTTGACTTCAGAGAAACTGAAGCTTGCCTTGGCTGACCTAGAAAAGCAGCGTGATTGTTCTCAAGACCTTTTGAAGAAAAGGGAATGTCACATTGAGCAACTAAGTGAAAAGTTAAGCAAAACCGAGAGAGAGTCTCAGGCTTTACTGGGTGCTTTGGAGATAAAAAAGAAAGAATGTGAAGAACTGAAAGAAGAGAAAACTCTCTTTTCTCACTGGAAAAGTGAAAATGAACAACTCATAAAGCAGATGAAATCAGAGAATGAAATCTTGCAGAGCAAAATCAGTCAGTTGGAAACTTGTCTTAAGACACAAGAAACAAGAAGCAATGAATACAAAGAGAGAGTAAGCACATTGGAGATGGAAAGAGGAAGTCTGAGTGCGGAGGTGAAGAACCTTCACATTGTCATTGATAAGAAGACAGTGGAGATGGAGACCCAGAAAGCAGCTCAGGGAGAATTCCAGCAGAAAGCCGAGTTGTCAAACCAGAAACATAAGAGAGAAACAGAAAGCATGTGTTTGAAGGTTTCTGAGCTCACTGGGCAAGTTGAAGATCTAAAGCACAAACTTCAGCTACTATCAAGTGAGATAACGGACAAAGACCAGCGTTACCAAGACTTGCACTCTGAATGTGAGAGGCTCAGGGAGCTGCTGACACCTAGTGACTCCTTGGTGACGAACGAGGGTCATCGCCAAAGTCTTCTGGCTTCTGAGCAGCAGTCTGAAGTGAGTAATTCCTTGGTAAATATAACAGGTTTTCAAGGGCATAAAAAACTATTCTGAAGTTTTTTAAAAAATACAAACCAGAACTTTAGGAGCAGGAGTAAACCTTTTTGCGGAGCTGAATTTCTACAGTGATTACATGTAAACACTCTAAAATGAGACATTCCTAAAGATCTTTCTTGAAGTCTCCTGCACAAAATTATATTATAGAGTCAGAAGAGTTCTCTTCAAGAAGTCTATGTCATATGTTTTCACTCTTTGTGAGTTAATAAAGCTCATTTACATATTCCATTGGAGCTTAGGAATGGGGACATGATGTGAATGTTAATATCTCTAGCCCTTTCTGGCTATTTTTAATGTTACAGAGTTACAGCCATGAAACAAATGCAAGAGTTTATTACAGATTACCAAATAATTTTCTAACAATTTACCCTGATCCAAATCTGTGATTTAATATCAGCTGCTTAAAAATACATCTCTTTCTTTATTGAATGTGAAGTTGCTTAGTTACTTACAAGCTTATCCTGGTAGTCTACCGGCTAAACTATGAATGCTATAGAGTCAAGGTGTCTCACTTCATTCCCTCTGCCTGCCATTGTATGATGAAATGGCAAGTGGTGAGGAGGCAACAGGGATAGTCAGGGCAGCTGACCCCTGTTTACCGGGTGACAGGAAGGTGGAGTCCAGATATATGGTTTCTCTCAGAATCCAGATGGTAAGTGCAGGCTTAAGTCCTTGGGCTGACAATCTGGTCGTGACAGCTCACCACCTTCCACTGTTGAAGCATAGCAGAACTGCTAAAGATGGAAGCTGGGCATTCTGGTAAGCCTCCTGTCTGATGATCCAAAAGGACGATTTATATTTAGGCTATCTGAACTGTTCCTAGAGAGAAAAACCATTTGAAATTTGAGTGTGTGCCAGTGTGGATGATCATACAACTAGAGGGTCTGTCTTCATGACAAACACGTCGCCAGTGCCTTGGCCAGACAGGATACCCCCTGAATGTTGGTTTAACTGTGTTGACACTGGGATGGAGAGGAGAGAATGTCATAGGAAATATGTCATTGGAAAGGATGTGTGTAGTAGAGGCAAGAATCCAGTGTCTACAAAGCAAGAATTAAGCCTATTGGATCTTTCCTGATTCTCCCTCAATATTGAAATGCATTCTCATTATATATTACAGCCACAGGTTCTCCAGGGCAGAAGTGACAGCTGTGACACAAACAGGTCAGAAGAAAATGCTTTGGAAAGCAAAGACAGAACATCCAAGCAGGATCTTCGTCCAATCTGTGAGAGAGATGTCCAGCAGGACCTGAGCCCAGATATGGAGAAAGTGACCAAGACTGAGGCAGTCATGCTGGTGGGAGAAGGTTCTCAGGAGCAGTCTCCAGAAACCAGTTGTGATTCCCTAGTGGAAGACAAAGCCCAGGACTTGGCAGGGTGCATTCTTGAATCGTCACTTTCTGGTACTAATGCTTTGGTGCCTATGGATTTTCTAGAGACTAGGGTAACCATTCAGAATCTCCAGCTGCAGGTAAAAGAGACATCAAGTGAGAATTTGAGATTACTTCACACCATAGAGGAACGTGACAAAAATGTTGAAACTTTACTAAGTGAAACAAAAGAGTTAGACTCCAAACTCGATTTACAGGAAGTACAACTAACTACCAAGATTGAAACGTGTGGAGAACTGGGGGAGACAGTTGAGGAACTTAAGAAAGAAACACCAGATTTACTGGAAAAATTGGAATCCTTTTCTTGTGATAACCCAGAGTTCGACCAGAGAGGTGAAAGTTCAGCAGGCCTCAACTCTAGTTTAGAAATGGGTACAACTAAACTGTCACCTGAAATTACTGAAGATAATGTAGCCGAGGTGAATGACAATTGGAGAGAGAGATTTCTCCATGTGCAAAATGAGCTGGAGAGGCTCAAGGCTGAGAAAGGCAACATCAAGCACTGTGTCCACTCTGTGGAAGCCAACTTAGCAATGGTGCAAACAGAGAAGCTACGTTTAGAAAAAGACAACGAAAATAAGCAGGGAGTTATAAACTGCCTTAAGGAAAAACTCTCTGTGGTCACAAGTGAGAGAAACCAGCTTCACGGAGAATTAGATGCTTTGTCAAAAGAAAATGAAGAGCTGTGCCTGATGTCTGAAAAGATGGAGGAGAAAATACGAGAGCTGGAGTTTCATCAAGGAGAGTGTCTGTCTCACATCGATGTGGCAGACGCTGAGCTGAAGGAAAAGACTCAGCTCCTTCAGACTTTGTCCTCTGACATAAGCGAGCTGTTAAAAGAGAAAGCCCACCTTCAGGAGCAGCTGCAGAGTTTGGAAAAGGACTCCCAGGCCCTGTCTCTGGGGAAAAATGAGCTGGAAAGCCAAATGGGGCGGTTGAAAAATGAGAAAGAATTGCTTGTGAGGGAATCCGAAAGCCTGCAGAGCAAATTACATGAAGCAGAACAGGAGAAGCTGACTGTCACGCAAGCGTTGGAGGCTGCCAGGCGAGAGAAGGGCGAGGTCGCTGGGAGGCTGAGCTCCACCCAAGACGAGATGCATCAGCTGAGGAATGGTATGGAGACACTGAGGGTCCGCATTGAGGCTGACGAGAAGAAGCAGCGCCGCATCTTGGAGACACTGAAAGAAAGTGAGAGGAAGAATCGTTCACTTCAGGCTAGGGTTGAGAACCTGGAAAGCGAATTGCAGATGGCAGAAGAAAACCAAGAGATGGTGATTCTTGATGCTGAGAGTTCGAAAGCGGAGGCGGAGACCCTGAAAACACAAGTAGAATCGATGACTGAACACCTGAAAGCTTTAGAATTGGACCTTGTCACGATCAGGTCCGAAAAAGAAACTCTGACTCATCAGCTGCAAGAAAAGCAGGGTCAGGTGTCTGAATTGGACACCTTGCTCTCTTCACTGAAAAACCTATTAGAAGAAAAGGAGCAAGAAAAAATGCACATGCAAGAAGAGTCCAAAGCTGCAGGGGAAATGCTGGAAAGAGAATTGAAAGAGCTGATGAAGGAGGTGGCAACCTTGTGTGAGGACCCAGATACCAGGAAGGTTCCGGAACAGAGCGCCCCAGTGCAGAGAGTGCGGCAGCTGAGCCAGAGCATCAAAAAGCTGAAAGACCAACTAGAAGACAATGACAAGAAGCAGACCCAAGTCTTAGAAAAGCTGCAGGAAAGGAAGCATCAAGCAGATATGCTCAAGGGGGAAGTCGATCAACTCGAAAAAGAACTACAGAAGTCCAAAAAAACCCATGAGCGTGCGACTCAGGAGGCAGAGAACTCCAAAGCAGAGGTAGAGAAGTTAAAAGCCAAAATAGAGGAGATGGCCCCAAGTCTGAGAGATCTGGAAGCAGATCTTGGCAACCTAAGGTCAGAAAAAGAAAATCTGATGAAAGAATTACAAAAAGAGCAAGGGCACGTATCCGAATTAGAAATATTAAAGTCTTCATTTGAAAATTTGTTGCAAGAAAAACAGCAAGAAATTGTCCGGCT